GCAAACAACCTACATGAAATGATGTAACTGCCAAATAGGATAAAAAAAAAAATCCATCCTAAAAATATATTACAGCCAACAGCAATATATCATAACACTGGATAGTACACTAAAACAATTATTAATAGCTCTATTCTGAAAAAATTAATCTAAACAGAAGAAGAAAAAAAGAAAGAGGCCTTTACTTCCCTAATACATTGCTTAAACTACATATGCCACACTTTGAATGATATTTGCTTTAAATCTGTGATGATCTCATCAAAACAAACCAATATATGGTTACCTAATCATAAAGGTCATCATAGTGGCCTTTAGATGATAACACTCAGTGTAAATATTGGGGGTCAGAGAAAGCTAAGCTTTTTCATCCAGATTTCAATCATGCAGTTCCTATTCCTGCTTAGAGAGCAAGATATCCCTTGTCAAGTCCTCACTTTTATATTCTTTTCTCCTAAGAATACTCAGAGTAAAGGAGAGAATTATCTAAGAATGCATTATAGCCTGAAGCACATCAGTATTTCCAAATTCTAGCAACTTCAAAACAAAGGCTTAACTAAGAGCTTTAGACTCCAATTCCTGAACTAGAACATTCACCAGCACCATGATGTGTTCCTGTGGTACCTGTCATCGGGATTAAAGCTTAGGATAAAGCATCACTTGCTAATAAAGCCAAATCTTGTTTCAATTAAAAAGGCTGGCCCATAATCTCTTCAAACAAAAAAAAAAAAGAATCACAGCCTTAGGACACATTTGCTATCCTCTTTATATTAAACAAAAAATTACTCTTATTTCTGACTAAGAAACCCTGCCTTGACTCATATGAATATTTCCCGATTTCTCTACTATATGCTAGGATACTTAAAGTAAACACAATGGTGAAACAAAGTATATACAGTGTTAAAGCTATCACAGAAAAGCTTTTCCTCAGTCCTATATGTATTATTACAATAATTACAGTATCAGTAAAAGCCTCTAAACTTCAGTTGATTATGTTTTTTAAACACAACAAAAACATTGCTTTAAAAATAGGACAAATAAAACAAATTAAGTAACTTAATTAAAAGTAATTAAGAAAAAACCTGACAGTTCTGGGAACGAGGGGCAGATTAACCTGCTTATCCAAGCATGTCCTGGTGTTCTGAAGGCCAGACCAATGGTTCTGGAGCACTGCAGACCCAGGGATAAAGGAACTGATGGATTGTCCCCTGAGCTGTCATTTCCTATCTGTGTCGCTGATGCTGCTATCATCTTCCTGGACGGAAAATGCACTCCTTTGTAAGAAATGAGGTTTGCCACCAAGAAACACAGGTACCGTCAGCACTTTAATTCTTCTTCGTCTGCCCTTTTCCACCACACACCTGCATGAATTTCCTCTCTAGCTATAAGAAAAAGCAACACAAGTTAACCTGCAGCAGTAAAAAGACTTATACAGATCCAGGTCACTAAAGATGCCAGAACTGGAAATAAGGAACACAGAATTTAGTATTTACTGAGCTGCAGATGCACTTAACACTCATTTTATTTATGCAAACATCAGACCAAAATCACTGGGTGAAAGCTATAGTTCCTTCCACCTATTGCTTCCCCTTTATTTTTCTTTGCCTAAAAAGATCACCACAGCAATAACCCAGCAAAACAGATGCTTCCTACAAACACACTTTTCTCAATTCCAAACAAATATCAGTCCTTAACTGGCTGAAGTGGAATAATTGATGAAGAACTGGAAGAGAATTACAACTGACCAGCTGAGAATTTATCATTGAGAAATTATCCTTGCAAAACTCTTTCTATAATAAAATAGAATTACAAAAATTATTTTAAGATTGGTATTAAACCACCATTCTGGAAGAAGGCCTAGAGATATTAAAGTCACGTTCAAAATCCACAACAGTTTACAAGAACAACTGACCTGTCATTTTATGATTAGACTAGAGTCATGTTTCTGCCACATCCTTAAGGTTTCAATAAAATACACATGCAGTTTTAATTTCTACAGACTAGTCAGTCATAACCTTCAGTGTTCAAAACTGAAGATCCTTTTTAAAAAGAAAAACATTATAATAATCACATAATCATTAGGGTTGGAAAGGACCTTTTGAGATCACTTCACCCTACCAGTGTTTCCTACAACCTCTGCTTTAGATGATTTTTTCCTTACTTTTTTGGTTACAAATTTCTCTTTTGCAATACAAAGTTCAGCTCTGGCTCCTATCTACACCTAATCTTAACTGCCTGTTAACTCCAGCTGAGTGTCTTCAGGACATCAAGAGACACCTGTGTTTATTCATTTGCATTCAATTACCTTGATTGTGAATAGAAGGTTGCAAATTCTGTACATCAAATTACAAACTGGGGGTATAGGAACAAATAATGGAGAACAAGTTTTTGATATAAATTCAAACTGCTCCTTCACAAAATCTGAAACGAAGAACTGCTACATAAACAGTATGACTGAAAAGTAATGTCGGAGGTTACAATGTGAGATGTAACCAAAAGTATGTATTCAATTACCATCTGTTAAAATAAGGTGGGGCAGTGTTCTTTATCTCTTCCATGACCCATCCTTCCTCCAGGCAGATATCTTCTGTTAATGGGCCACTGAGTCTTATTGCATGACTGATAAAATTACACCATCTCATTGTGAAATACTCCACCCAGGGGGAGAAGCCAAGCATTCCTACCTGGATATAATCTGAGGTTTGGAACACCACAGTCTTTTTCCACAGCATTCCCAGAGGAAGACCAGATCCTTCAACACCACCACTCGACCTTCAGAGGAAAACCATACACTTCTACAGTGGATCTGTTTCAACAGATCCATATGTATCACTCCAGGAGGACTGCAGCCACCATTTAATTGGACTGCTACCAATACCCTGACTAACAGGGTGTCAGGTTGTATTCTGACTCCATCACTGTTTTTGTACTATTGCATTTATTTTAATTTTCCTATTAAATTGTAGCTCTGACTTAGAATCTCTCACTCTTTTGCTTTCAAACTAGAACAAGTAAAAAAATATAGTTTAAAGAATACAGAACAGATAAAGAAAATTGATTTGAAATCATTTGGTTTGACATTGCAAAGAGTGAAATTTTCACCTCACTAAAGCAATGCTCATGGACAGGACACAACACTTGCATGTATACTTCTCAACAAGCACGCTGGCTGCTGCTCAAAATCTCCTTCACAAAGCTTGTAAAGAAATCAATAGTGCTGTTCTTTGCTCTTGAGGGAATCCTCCCTCTCACACCACTCACTCAGAAACTTCAAAGATTTCCTTCACATAGCAAATTTCAATACCACAATGATGTTCCCTAAAATACTAGAAAGGATTAATGTCTCGAAAATATAACACCTGGTTCCTTAAACATATGCTGATTTTTGTTTCCTGCTATGGAAAGGCAAATAGGTTTTAAATAGCCTAGAGATTTAATGCTTCCTTTTTATGTCAGGTCTGCAGCAGCAGTGGTCCAATCATATTGCCAGTCCTAAAAGGAGAGTGGTTTGTGGCCTATTTTTGTTTTCTTTTTTAACAGAAGTATTCAAATAATTTTCACAAAGACCATTTTTTTATGTAAAGGAGTTCAGTATGAATTCCTTCACAGGCTTCTCCCCTTGCTGCACCACACACTAACTAAACACATGCTGCACAAACAAGCCCCATCCCACAGCTGGCAGAGAAACAGCACCAGTTTCCATTCACCTTTGTTACAAAATATATATAATTTTTTAAGACTTGAAGGATTTCTCTCTCAATGATGCTGCATGCATGACACTGGTGAAGGGTGAAGAAACACCCTTCTTCCTCCAAAAGCTAAGCAAGAAGACAAAACCCAGAACAGGAAATGAGTGCCATGGCTTCTAGGTAATTCAGCAAGATGGCAGGATGGCAACAAATTCTGGGAAGCTGATTAGCCATGAGACCTGTTGAGGCAGATAAATATATTCACTTGATCAACACTTCGTCCTTGCAATGACACATCTGAATTAGTTATTTCCACTTACAAAAATATTTGAATGCAGGTTGGCATGATAGACAGAAATTAGACACCTGGTCAGAACAGACGTTGCTGTCATGGCAACTTTTATCAAAGCCTTTTTGACATTCTTCAATTAATTCTTGACCTTAAATTTTTTAAGCTATTCAGTGTTGAGGGTATAAAATTAGCAAAATAATAATATTTTTGACATCTCCCACACTCCTTAACAAGCTCAGCGAAACTGATAGTTAAGTACATGCATAGGACTATAAAGAAACACAGCTTATAAGCTTTAGATAGCCTAACTCAGTAACTGTTTGTCTATGTATCCATTATTTTGAAATCTACACAAACTGCACATTATTATACATCAACAACCATTCCACAAGTCATTAAAGGAAATGCTTTATCCACACGTGTCAGGCCAGATCAGTTTGTTCACCTCACACATAAGAAACAGGTAACACCTGTTTCTTTATTATTCAGCCTCTAAAATTAGAAAGGTAAAACAACATTATCTGCACAATGAGTAATTTGTTTCTCCAACATCTTCACAAAATAGAATCACACCCCCTAGAAGGCACTTGCTTGAAAAAGCTGCACATAAATTGAATAGCTGGTTTTGCATTAATCTTCTTTTCATTAGATTTGGTGCAAATTTTAGCACCGCTGTCAGTGAAAACAGCACCTTCTATTCATGAAGCAAGGATCAGGTGAAGGCAAGTGATGAGAAAGCCTCCCTTGAGGCTTTCTGGTTGAAAGTGTAATTACTTGCACTTTTAACCAGAGACCTGGACATTAGTTATAGCTACAATTTCACCTTTTCATCTGACTTGTTTTTTTTATAGATTTCCATTTAACTGACTAAAAAGCTTAGTTTTAAAATATTTATACCATTCTGGGCATTTGTACTTTTGATAGGCACTTTTGGTCCACAAACCGACTATGAGGAAAAAAAAATACTGTTTTGCAAGTACATCACAAAAGCAAACTTCCAGGTGCCCCTGCACAAGCCTTACCTGCATCATGGTCACCAAGTGGCAGGGATTCAGGAGGTAAATGACAGTCCTGGTGGCAAACTTGAACCCCACCTCCAGCCCAAAGATGAGGCAGAGCAGCACCAGCAACACATTCTTGCCCACGCTCTCCTGCTTAGTCTGGGGCTGCTGCAGCAGATTCTCCAGCTCCCGGACATGCTGCTGCCTGAGCTTCCACAGGGACACGAGGATTTCCACGGTACCCACACTGAGGAAGACCAAACTCTCCAGCAAGCGCTGCCGGCCGGAGAGAAAGGCGGCGCATTCCGGCCCTCCATTGCCGGCAAAGCTGGGGTCCACCCCGCCATACATCCAGTCCAAGAGGTTGTGGAAGCTGTAGCGAGACATGGCGTGACGGTACCTCTTCTCAAGGAACAGGTAGGAGCAAGACGGAATCAAAACCAAAATACTGCTGGGCTGACGAAGCACGAAACGCCAAGACGCTCCCGCTGCAGCCCTTCCTTGCCAGGCTCCGTGAGAAACGGGCAGCTTCGCTCGGGGCACGGGCAGTTCTTCCCTTCCGCTGCCCGGAAGAGTCCCGCACGCAGCAGCCTGAGAGGAGGCAGAGGCCGCAGCTCTATGGAGCCTGCCAGCTCCAGATCCCCCAACCCCGGGCCCCCTCCTCTCCCCGCCCGGCTCTGCCGCCCGGTCCTGGGCTGCCCTTATCCGCGGCCAGCGCCGTATCCAGCCCCCTCACGCCGCCCCGCTGTCCCTCCACAGTCCCTCCCCCCCACCCCGCGCATCCCCCGCATCCACGGCGCGGTACCTCCTCCGCGGGCGGGCAGGTGTCAGGGAGCGGCAGGCCCGGCGCCCCCGGCCATGGCGCCGGCCCCGACCTCGGAGAGGGGCGGGAAGGAGGAAGCACCACTACGCTCAGCGGCAGCGCCGACACGGCCGAGACTCCGGGCCCGAGCGGGCAGGCCGCTGCCCGCAGCTGGCCCGGCCCTTGCCCGACGCTGCAGCATCACCCCACCAACATGCCTGACGCACGCCGAAAAATGGACGAGTTCCCCGAATTGGCTGCCCCCAGCCGCCCGCTCCTCCCTCCTTCACGGCTGCGCCCGCCTCCCTCGGCGGGTGCGCGCACCCCGTCTCCGGCTCCCCCTCGCCTGCTGCCGCTTATTTCGCGCAGCTGCGCCCCTTCCTTTTCCTCCTCCCCTTTATCGTAGCTGCCTGCGTTTCGGCCAGGAGGGCGGCAAGGACCGGGCACAACTCTGCACGCCCGTCAGCGCGATCCTGTTCGCCGACCTGATCGGCAGCGACCTTAACTCGATAAACGAGTTTTTCAAGTGCCATTGCAGCAGATCTAGGTAGGCCGGCCGAAGAAGGGACAAACCCGAGCGGGGCTCCAGCTCAGCTCCGATCTGCACATGGGCAGGTCCCTCCAGCCAGGTGTGCCTAGAGTCGCACACAGGTGCCTGCAGCCAGGTGTGCCCAGTGCCATGTACAGAGCGCAGATTCCATTTGTCTTTGTGCTTAGACGATTTACTGCCATGTGTGCCCTGTGCAGCAGAGTCCGGTTTGGTTCCTGGTTTGTGGCATTGTGAAGAGGTTGTATTGCAAATATGTAATTCTGTGTCTGAAAGGCAAAGGTCTGTGGAGAGAGTAGTAGGTTAAGGGAGTATTTTCAAGGCAATCAGAGCCATGGGCATCCCCTGAGAGCTGCCTCCTACAGATTTTATTTCACATTGCCTTCATGCAGCACATTGCTCTTCCCATCCTGATCATTTCAGGGCTTCCTGCTTCATAGGACAGCATTAAGACTGCACCATCAGTGGCCAAACTGTTGAGCCTGATTAATTGAAAATAAAAGCTTAGTTCCACAAATAAGTTTGAAAAGTCCAGATATCAGTACTGGGTGAGTCAAAGTGATTTCTATATAGACACAGGGGCAGGCTTTACCTGGTCTGTAAAGCTGGAGGCTGTATGTCACTGTCATTCTGCTGTGGAAGAAATTACTCCCTTTTTGGGAAAGAAGGGGTCCCACCCGGCTTTTCCAAAATCTTCAAGAACTCCTTTCCACAATTTGAGCTTAATAAGAATTCTACAAACTGCTGTTTTTTCAGTCATTGCTGATTGATTAAGATGCCTATTGTTGATCTAAACCTGCAGCGCAATGTTCCTGTAAATGCCTCCCTGATTAAACAGACACACACACACACATACCTGCAACACCCTGCTTCACAACCTGAATACTCAAAACAAGCAGTTCACCACTAATACCAATATTTGGCAGTTTTCTTCTTCATCCATTTCTAAGGTGCAGGATTATTATTCAAAAATATACTCTATTTCTAAAACACAGGATTACTGCTCACAAAGCACAGAGTATTTTCTCTTAGGGGTCTACCAACTGGATTATCTGCTGCCATGAACCACCTGGGACAGATCTGTCCCTTTCCACTCCCTCAGTCACGTACAAGAGAACAGCTATTACTGCTAGAAGCAATTCCTGCCAGTTTTATACCTGTCTCTGCATTTCAGTCTCTCACCTTTGGCAGTGCCGGGGGTCTGTTTCTTTGACTTCTTTCCTGAGCTTATCTTTGGTGAAGTGAAAAAGCCTTTCCATTAGAACAGCAGTACATTGTCAGGTGCTGGTGTTTCAGATGTAGTGATTTATTTAGTATATGGCCTAGCCTCAGGAATATGAGGGCTTGGTTGGGTGGTTTGGGGTTGCTGTTGTTTTATCAGAGACTGCCGGTGAAGAATAACTGGCTGAAGACATGAAAGTGGGCAGCATTTTGCTCACAAAAAAAAGAGCATTTGCAAAATGACAGCTTGTTGTCCATTGAAGAGGAAGGAAAGAGAATAGCTAAATAAGGATAGAAGTCATGAAAGCTAAAGGTTTAAGCAATCAATAGTTATGACCTCATAGGAAGGAAGTTTAAAGAAAGGAGTTAAGAAAAGGAATGATGCTTTAGAAAATAATTCAAAGGACCATTTATCCCAATTGTGAGTGGAATAGAAATAGCAGTAAGCTTAGATTGGCTACATCATGAGGTCTCTATTGACCTTAAGCACATGAAGAAAATACGAAGGAAGATGGGTCAAATCACTAAGAATAAGAAAGAAATACTAAAAAAGGTATTCCTGCAAAACGATTGAACTGTCAAGAGCTACCATATAAAAATTGCTCTTTACATATATTTGTACTAAGAAGGATATAGAGAAATTATTAACCCCCTACTCAACAGAGAAGAAAATCTATTAACAAATTATGAAGACAGCTAAAGGGATTGGTGTCTCTGTTGTATTAGACTTTAAAAAAAGACCTTGCAAAAGCAGATAGTTGTGACTGGTGATGCTGAGAACAAAATAGCTCAGAGTAGGTAAAGAACAGATAAGGAGCACTCAGATGGACCAAATGTTTTCAGTTTGAGTCTAATGAAAGTGATTGAAAGACAGTTGAAGAATTAAGAAGGTGAATGAGATGCTGGAAGAACAGAAGAGGAAACTGTACATTGCTGTTATCAGAGGGGAAGTGAAGCCAGAGAAATACATCTCGATTTAAGTGTAACTAACTTAAATTCATTTAAAAGTCCTTGGGCAAGTAAGCCTCAAGAACTATTATTAGCACCTAGATGATAACCAGAGAACAATTGCAGTCAACATGGATCTGTCAAAAATAAATCACAACAGATAACTTGATGTTTTTCTTCCAATAGGGAACAGGCCTTATGGATAGGACAAAGCCTGTTGTCAGTTTGATTATGTTTATGACACTTACTTGACATTTTCTTTAAAAAGTTAAAGAAATGCAGTCTGGATAAATGTATTATGAGGTCTGTACAAAACTTCCTGCATAGCAAGGAGTACTTCACAGTGAGAAATAGTTCACTGACCAAAGGAAAGGATATATTGCTGTTTTTCCAGACTCTGTCTTCGGTCTGGGGCTCTGTGTTATTGATATTAACAATTTAAATAATGGAACAGAGAAAATTCTTATTAATTTTGCAAGTGAGGCAAAGCTGGGGGGAGGACACAGAATTACATTTCAAAACATTTTTTGACCATTCAGGAAACATTTAAAATAAAGAATAACTTTAAAATAAATAATAAAGAAGATATTCAGTAAGATCAAGTAGCATCATAGTTCAGCACATTATACTGGTATAAATCATCTCTGCCTTTCCTTTTCCCTTGCTATTCATTTTCCGCCTCACTGTCTTATGCCAGAATTAATTTTTCTGGGGCTCTGGTTGACTGTATGAGGAAGCTGATTAATGTTACAATTGTAATTCCAGAGTTAGGTGTAACCTGGAGCACTCTGCTGATCTATATGATCCTACTTCAGGTTGTGGCAATGGATGAGGTAACCTGCTGATTTCTTGTCTTGCTGTGATACTCCACTTGTCACAGTACAAGCTGGCTTGTGCTGGGCAGTTAATCTGACCACTGACTGGATAAGCAGCCTGGCTTAAAAGGCAGGCCCCCAAAGAACAGAGATAGGACAAAATTGGAGACAGACAAGGATTTAATCCTATGAGTTCCAGCCCTGGCTGCAGAGAGCTATTGGTCAGCGGGCTGAGCAGCCTGACCTGGGAGCCAGTCACAGACGTTTACCCGGGAACATTGAAAGGGGTATATAAAGCAAGGTCAGAACTGAATAAAGGCTTTTTGTCACGTGGATTACAGAGTGTAGCATCTTCTGTCTCAGATTCTACGCCGTTGCACCTCACAATTGGTGAGTCCCGATGTGATCTGACATAGCCATACCGCCACGAGCGGGGGAGACAGGCCGTCCTTGAGACGGTGAATTCTGTCCGAGAGCCAAAGAGCTGCCCAAGAGGCAGGAGAAGTACTGGCCGAGAGCCAGGGCTGTCCTTGAGATGGGTTCTGCCCTAGAGGCAGGGGGAGCGCTGGCCAGAGTCAGGAATTCGTCCAAGAGATGAGAAAGACGCCCAACAAGAGAGGTGACAGGAACTGACCAGAGCCAGAAATGTCCTGGAGACAAAAACCTTCAGCCGAAAAGCTACAAGAAAATCATAGAAAGCGTCTTTTCTACAAACACATACCCAGTAATGGAGGTATGGATAGAGTTTTTGGAGGAGTGGGAAATTGAATATAAACAAGAATCTCTCTTTAATACTATGGACAAAAGAAAAGAGATAGAGCCGACTGTAGAAACTGCATTAGATACAGTCTATTGGACTAAAATTGGAGAAAAAATATTAAATGCTGCTTTAAAAAATGGTAAAAATGCAATCAAAGCTTTAAAAACTTGGAGAACTGTCTTAAAGTTGATAAAAGAGATAAAAGCTGATTTATCTAGTCACAGCATGGAAGAAAATGTACTTACTCCATGCAGAGAGACTTTACTGACTGACGAATCCTCAGTAGCCAGCTCAGAAACCCCTAATCCACCCCAAACCACTATGGGGAAACCCGAAGAAAACCCCCAAGATGGCGGCGGCTGCGTGGCCAAGGGAGGGATCCGAGAACAATACCAAAATGGCAGCAACCTCATGGCCAGGGGAGGGAGAAGGGAAACACAGCCTCCCTCATGGAGCGTACTTCCACCACAAGCCCAGCCCGGAGGGGTGCGCCTTTGCCCCAAGCCCAGCCCTGGTGGGATGTGCCTCCAGCTCCAACCACGCCTTGGTGGGAGGTTCCCACAGTCTCAGTCCAGCCTCAGGAAGGTGGGGTCCCGACCCAAGGCTAGCCCTGAGCAGGCATGCATTGGCCCCAAGTAGCCCTGCCTCCGGGGGGAGAGGTTTCAGCCCCAGCCCCAGCCCAGCCTTTGCAGGGCGTGTCTCCGCCCCGGCAAGAGGGCGTGGCGCCGCCCCGAGTCGCCATGGAAACCCCCACCGACCCCCAAGCAGACGCACGCCGTGATGACATCATACAAGGTGCAACACAAGGAAAAACCCAGAAGTGCATCGGGACCGAAAGATATTAACACCAAAGCTCTGAAAACGACTCCAGAACCAAGCTTAAGCCCCAATCCTGCTGCAACCAGAATACCCACCGCTTCTTCACATCAGAAGCCAAGCACGGAACAGCTCCAAGAGGTCTCCTCACAGAGGAACGGCCGAAACACCCAGGAAAAGAACACAAGCTGCACCTCGGCAGCCAGCCTTCAAACAGCAGCTCCAGCCCCACTAATGTTTAAATCAGAAGCCGTCTCTTCCTGGGACCCGGCTCTCTTCTGGATGAAGGTAAAGCAAAAGGATCTAGAATCTGGTGATTTAGAAGTGGCTGAACTGATTGCAGTGCCTTCATCAGTGCAGTGTCTTCACCAATAGAAGAGGACTGGCAGGGTGGGGGAGATACGATAATGGCATTCCCAGTAATAAGGGGAAATGGAACTACTCCAGATAAATATGTACCCTTTAATTGGCAAATTCTTGCAGAATTACGCCAGTTAGCTGCTAAGCATGGGTTGGGATCCCCTGCAGTGACAAATAAGCTTAGATTTGTGACTGCTAATGAACTAACACCCTATGATATAAAGCAGATTGTGAAATTAATCTGTGCTCCAGTGCAGTATATGATGTTTGAATCGGCCTGGAGAACATATGCAGAAGAACAGGAGTTGAAAAACTCGAGGCTATCACAGCAAGACCCGTGCTTTGGAGCAGGGGTCCCTCAACTCATGGGAGTGCGCCCCATGGAAGATCCTCAAACTCAAGCACACTTAAACTCTGCAATATAAAATCAGGTAAAAGAACTGGGGATGAGAGCACTAAATAAAGTTACAAACATGTCTGTACCAACCCAGAGATATACAAATATAAAACAAAATCCTAGTGAGTTGTACATGCACTTCATAGAACAATTACAAGATGCCATGGAAAAACAAATAGCTAATGAAGATGCAAGGAATCAGGTATTGTTACAACTGGCGCGGGATAATGCCAATGAGGATTGTAGAAAAATTGTAAGTGCATTGCCCAAAGAAAGTCCATCCTTGGAAGAAATGATTAATGCATGTGCCAGGGTTGGGACTGCATCACACAATATGGATATGTTAGCTAACTCTTTTGCAGCTGCAGTAAAGATTAATGTGAATTGGTTCAATTGTGGACAACCAGGCCATGTGAAAATGAGCTGCCCCACGAAACCAGCCTCACAGAAGAAGGCTCAGGGACAGGGCAACGGCAAGTTACTCTGTAAGTGATGTGGAAAACTTGGACATGAAACTAAGGTATGCAGATCCAAATATCATATTAATGATCAGCTTATTAAGGAAGAGGGAAACTTGGGACCCAGCGCAATGAGGGAACGCGCCCAGACAGAAATGTTTCCTCAACCTCTTGCTCAAGCCTTTGTGACCAGCTCACAGCCAGAACAAGGGGATCAGCCAGCCTGGATGTTTACACCTCAGCCACAGTAACTATAAACTCACTAGAAGTGCATAGAGTCCCCCTTGAGGCTCAGGGGCCCATAGGGAAAGGACTAAGTGCCCTTCTTTTGGGAAGATCCAGTGCTACATTACAAGGTATCTTTGTGCATCCTGGTGTGATAGATGCTGACTTCACAGGGCAGATATATGCCATGGTATCCACTCCCTCTCCACCTGTAACTATTCCTGAAAAAACTAGGATTGCACAGAAAAGAACTTGTTCTTTTTAAGTCTTGTGTCCCCAATGCAGATGCAAAGGAGCAGGGAGACCAAGGCTTCGGATCAACAGGACAACCAGAGGTATTTTGGACTCAAATCATAGGTAAAGACAGACCTGTCATAAAATGTACTGTTACTATGCCTAAAGCCAAGCCCTCACAGATAGAGATTAAGGGTTTGGTTGACACTGAATCTGATGTTACTATCATTGCTGCTTACAAATGGCCTCTCTCTTGGCCCACTACACTCTCAGGAACCGCTATTGCTGGTATTGGAGGGACTACACAAAGTTATCTTAGTGATAATCCTGTGCTGATTAAAAGTGATAAAAGGCAGACAGCCACAGTGAGGCCATACGTGCTAGCAGATTATATAGGTGTGTGGGGGAGGGATGTGTTGTCAGCATGGGGGGTCTGGGTGGGGACGGATTTTTAACAGGGGCTGTTGTGATAGAGGGCGAACACCGTCCCACATTTGCTTTGAAATGGCTCACTACTCAGCCAGTGTGGGTTCCACAGTGGCCCCTAACAGAAGAGAAATTAGAGGCCCTCAAAATCCTAGTTCAAGAACAATTGGTTCAAGGGCACATAGAACGATCCACAAGTCCATGGAATAGCCCAATATTCGTTATAAAAAAGAAATCTGGAAAGTGGAGGTTACTCCATGACTTAAGAAAAATTAATGCTATTATGGAAAGCATGGGTGCCTTACAGCCAGGTATGCCATCCCCTACAATGATACCTGTCTCTTGGGATATCCTGATTGTGGACTTGAAAGACTGTTTCTTTACTATTCCATTACACCCAGATGATGCCCCAAAGTTTGCTTTTACAGTGCCTTCTATTAACAATGCTGCACCAGGGCAACATTATCAATGGCGAGTGCTTCCGCAGGGCATGCGAAATAGTCCAGTGATCTGTCAGGAGTACGTGGCTCAAACAGTCTCATCAGTGAGAGAGCAATTTCCAGGGGCATATTGCTACCATTGTATGGATGATATTTTGGTAGCAACCCAGACAAAAGAAGAACTTACAGAAATTCAGCCAAGCTTGTTAAAGGCACTGAAAACATTTGGGCTGCAAATAGTTCCTGAAAAGGTGCAGCAGCAAGCACCATGGAAATATTTGGGACTAAAAATCTTAAATCAGACCATATAACCACAAACTATTCAATTCTCAACAAAAATTGAAACCCTAAATGATGCACAGAAACTTTTGGGTTCTATCAACTGGGTTAGATGGTATTTAGGATTAACTGATTCACAATTGGCACCATTATTCGACCTGTTAAAGGGTGATCCAGAACTGACTTCACCGAGAAAGTTAATTATAAAAGCAAAAGCTGCTCTTGAAATAGTAGAGCAGGCTATAACAAAGAAACAAGTCCACCGGATATGCCCAGAGGTGTGTGTTACTGTGTTTATTATAATTGTTAAGTTTCATCCAACAGGAATCATCAGGCAGTGGAACTGACACTGGCCTGATCCTTTGCATGTATTAGAATGGATGTTTTTGCCTCACCAGCCCAAAAAGATGGCTCCCACCATCTTTGAGTTAATAGCACAATTGATTATCAAATGTCGTTACAGGTGCATGCAGTTAAGTGCTAAAGATCCCTCAAAAATTATTATTCCTGTGAAGCAAGAACAGTTTGAATGGTGTTTTGCAAACAGCACAGCTTTACAAAGTGCTTTGCAAGGTTTCTTGGGTCAGATTTCCAATCATTTGCCAAGCCATAGACTGCTTAAGCTAAGTGGGGAGACTGAACTCTCTCTCAAACCTCTCAGTAGCCGCATACCCTTAAAAGGTGTCACAGTGTTCACAGATGGCTCTGGGAGAACAGGGAAAGCCATTGTAACATGGAAAGAGGGGAGTGATTGGCAAACCCTAGAAGGATACGAGAGTAGATCACCTCAAATGGTAGAGCTACGAGCTGTAGCTATGGCTTTTCAGTATTTCCCTCACACTCCTCTAAATGTGGTAACAGACTCTGCATATGTAGCTGATATCACTCAAAGATTAGACCAAGCTCTGTTAAAGGAAGTTGAAAATGCACAACTGTTTAAGCTACTTAAAACTCTGTGCCTTGCCATACAAGCTAGAAGTTGTCCTTACTATGTATTACACATCAGAAGCCACACAAATTTGCCAGGTTTCATCACAGAAAGCAATGCTCGAGCAGATAAGTTAGCTGCCCCTGCCTGGACAGCACCACAGCCAGATATGCTTACACAAGCAAGAATGTCACATGATTTCTTCCACCAAGGTGTCCGAGCCTTGCAGTGGCAGTTTCAGCTGTCAAACACAGAAGCTCGTAACATTGTTAACACCTGCACTGACTGCCAAGGCCACACTGCACCACTGCAGATGGGGTAAACCCTCGTGGACTGCGTGCTTTGCAAATCTGCCAGACTGACGTGACACATATTGCCGAATTTGCCCATTTAAAGTATGTACATGTCTCAATTGACACATTTTCATCAGCAATCTGGGCTACAGTACACACAGGAGAAAAGGGTCGGGATGCTATTGCACATTGGCGATCTGCATTTGCTGCCTTAGGAATCCCCCATCTCATCAAAACTGATAATGGTGCTGCCTACATTTCACAGAGAACAAGAAATTTCTTACAGCTCTGGGGAGTGTCACACCACACTGGCATTGCACACGTATCAACAGGACAAGCCATCGTGGAAAGAGCACAGGGCACCTTAAAAATTACACTTAAAAAAACAAAAGAGAGGAATGTGTGGTGAAACCCCATAGAGCAGAATAGCAAAGGCTGTATACACACTAAATCACTTGAGAGTAATAGAAAATTCCCAGAATCCAGTTATCCTAAATCACTTCCTATCATTACAATCATCTGGTGATAAACCTTTACCTAAGCCCAAGGGGATGGTGCGAGACCTCGACACCAATAAGTGGGGGGGTCCGTGGAATCTCATCACCTGGGGACGGGGGTATGCATGTGTAACCACGGACACAGGTACACATTGGGTACCTGCTAGATGTGTTCGTCCTGCACGGAACCACAGACAACGTCCCCATAAGAGCTCCTCGACGGACGTGGGGGAGCCAGATGCAGAAGGACAGCACCCTCCCGAGAGCTCCTCGACAGATGTGGAGGAGCAAAATGCAGAAAGATAAATGGGAAAACTCACCTACCTCACAGAGTTATGAGACACTGAAATAACAGAGTTGTTTGTTTACAAAATGTTTTACTGTTTACAAATTGTCTTGTTAAGTTGGAATTTTGCACAGTTCTAAAACTGAATGTTATATTAAGTTATAATTTCAGAAGAAAAGTTTGAAGTTTTATTGATGTATGTGAAACCAAAAGTGCTAAATTCACCTGACTGCTCCTGAACAAAAGCACTGCAGCTTGTGGTATGTGGAACTCATCACTATCCAAAAAAGCCAAATTTATTAGGCTAGGTAAAACCCCATTCCAACTGAATAGATGCTGTTAATGTAATTTTGCATGCAAAAGGGCCCTTGCAGGCAAGATTACAGAGAACATTCAGAGTATTATTTGTTCTAAACATACCAATTCCCATGAAATTTGGTAGCAGGTTTCTCCCTCCTCCCAAAGTTCTTGTCTCAGCTTTAATGAAACACAAAATGCCTGTCAACAGAGCAGTAGTTATAATGCACTTAGCAACTTAATTTTTTGGTTGCCTTGAAGAGCTTTTTATACATAGACATTAATGGATGGCTGGATAAAGAAATTCTTCTACAGAAGGAATTAATTTTGCTTAATCCTTTTGAAATTAAGAGATGATATGGAGAGGTAGGTAATGAAGTGCACTCTCTAATTGTAACATTGCACATTTGTGTTTCAAAATTTGTTTTCAAATTAATAAAAAAGAAACGGGGAATTGTCACAGTGCAAGCTGGCTTGTACTGGGCAGTTAATCTGACCACTGATTGGATAAGTAACCTGGCTTAAAAGGCAGGCCCCCAAAGAACAGAGATAGGACAAAATTGGAGACAGACAAGGATTTAATCCTATGAGTTCCAGCCCTGGCTGCAGAGAGCTATTGGTCAGCGGGCTGAGCAGCCTGACCTGGGAGCTAGTCACAGACGTTTACCCGGGAACATTGAAAGGGGTATATAAAGCGAGGTCAGACCTGAATAAAGGCTTTTGTCATATGGATTACAGAGTGTAGCATCTTCTGTCTCAGACTCTGCGCCGTCGCACCTAACACCACTCATTAGAAAAAAGGAATATGGTTGGTATAAAACTTTGTATCTTGGTACAACTGATACTTCTTTGCAACAACACAATATGGATCATTCATGTTCAGACTGTGATCCAAAGTAAATCCAGAAGATCTGGTTCTCTGATCTCGATCTGTTGGATGGCTTGGGCACAGTTCCTTCATTCTCTCTGAGTTTCTTCAGCTTCTTTGAAAAGCACCCTGAAATTTGTGAAAAACAATTTAGCATTATTGACTGAACACTAAGCTATTGCATTTTTTTTGTTTATTAATAATTTGTTCTCACCATTTGTCTAAGTTAGGATCTTACTAAGATCCACCATAAACATATGTATCTCCTATGTCAATAGAAATGGTTTTCTAAAAGCAGTAATTTCCTGCAACTAAAATGTTTGACGAGAGCCTGGGGCTTGTTCTTGCATCTAGCATGAGAATTATTTTTCTGTCAATGTCTTCTTTAAATACAAAAATGGTGAAATTTAATGTTAATCCCTGAAGAAATACCAGGCCCTGGGCATAGCAGGAGTCCTTGACCAGCCAGAGCCCCAGTCCTCTCCCAGGCTGGGCTTGTCCTGGGGTACAATGCAAAAATGTGTATTCTATCACCATCTGTTAAAATGTGGGAGGGGTGGTGATCCTTATCTCTGTGGGAGATATCCTCTGCTGATGTGCCATCTGATAAGATCAGGGGGATGATCATCATTATCTTTTCACAACCCATCCTTCCT